ACTTGTCCCCCAATCACATAAAATTTGGTTTAACAAATATTTAATGTTTACTGCGTATAAGACATTGTCCCAGGGTTAGGACAGTGAATAAGAGAGGTGGGTCCCTGCTCTCAAGCCATTTGTAATCTGGAGGAAAGTATAATAAGCAAATTCATTAATAAAATGATCTGAGAGAGGAATGAGTACAACGAAAGACAACAAGATAATAATGTGGCCAGGAAAATGCTCTCCAAAGGGGAAAATATCTGAGCCACAACCTGTTTGTGATGAGAAGCAGCTGGCCCCACTGCAGCAAACTTCTTCTTACAATGAAAATGAAGATGCTACATAGCCAATACAATTCACATACACTGAAATAAAACTCCCTCAAGATTCTAAAATATGTTTTTCCCCTTAAACACTGTGGGTTGATCAATCAGTGTTAGACACTCCTTCCAATTGGCTCAGAAAAAAATCAATCATGAGAATAACTGCACTACAAAGTACAAAACAGAATGAACCACTAAATAGAAAATCTGGAAGAATTTTGGTGCTATAAATTCAGACCCCTGGATCCAGGAAGGAAGGGAAAAGATAATCCATGATTGTCCAGTAGTAACCTGGCTGCTTCACCTGACAGGACTGATTACAAAACAGGTACCTCACTGAGAAATTGAGAGAAAGCGGCCCTTCAAGGCTGCCGAGAACACAATGTCTTCAAGAGGGTTGAACCAGGAAAACAGCCTGGGATCCTGCCAAGCCGGTCCTTCCTTCCTGAGGGGGCGCCAAGGTCTTTCCATGACGCAGCCTCTAGCTCCTCCTGCCTCCCCATGTCCCCAGCACTCTGCATTAAGCATTAGATGCTGGTCCCCACTTAGAAGGTCAGCAAATCAAGAGCAAGTACACGAAAGAAGAAAATAGGGTTTAAATAGAGGCAATTCTTCAGTTTTTGGAAGCCAGAGAAATTATGCAAAATAAACGTGTTCTAGAAGCATCAGAAAAAAAAACTGACAGTGATAATTTAGAAAATCAGACTGTGTCCAAAAATTAGAAACTAATTTGTTTTATTGTGATTTCGTTTTTTCTACGCTCCTATTCTCATAAATATTTTCTGCACTAAAGACGAAACATAGTTTTCAAGAGTCAGACTTGGCTCAACTGAAATTCTGTCATTTACTAGCATCTTAACACCTTCAGTAAAATATGGATAAGTCCTTATTGGTTTTTTTTCCCCACAGCTTTATTCAGGTATAACTGTCATATAGTAACATGCACATACTTAAAGTGAACTATTTAATAAGCTTTGACATATGTTTATAACTGTGAAACCACTGCTACAATCAGAATAATACAAATATTCATCTCCCCTAAAAGTTTCCGCCTCCTCTGTAATCCACCTCCCTCACCTCCACTCTCCATTTTTAGGCACCCACTGATCTGCTTCCTGTCACTATACACTCGTTTTCATTTCTAGAATTTTGCATAAATGAAATCGTACTTTTTTGTCTAGCTTCTTTCACTCAGCATAATTATTTTGAGATTCATTCCTGTTGTTACATGTGTAACAGTTCATCTTTTTTATTGCTGAGTAATATTCCATTGTATGGATAAATTACAATTGTTTAAACATTCATCTGTTGACATTTGAGTTGTTTCCAGTTTGGGGGTTATTACAAATAAAGGTGCTATGGACATTCGTGGACAAGCCTTTGTATGAATGGTTTTATTTCTTTCAGTAAATACTAAAGAGTAAGTTATACAGTAGGCATATGTTTGATAGTTTAAGAAACTGCCAAACTATTTTCCAACATGATTGTACCATTTTACATTCCTCACAGTAGCATATGAGAGTTCCAGGTGCTCCACTTCCTCACCAACACTTGGTATGGTCAGTCTTATTAATTTTAACCTTTCTAGTGGGTGCATATTGAGATCTCATTTTGATTTTAATTTGCATTTCCTTAATGACTCATGATTTTGAGCACCTTTTAATGTGCTATTTGGCATGAAGGTGAGTGCCTATTCAAACATTTGACAAGTTACAAGTCATTTGTTGGATTTTAAATTAGGTATTTTTCTTATTATTACTGGGCTGTTAGAGTTCCTTTATATATTCATGTTACACATCTTTCATTTACATGTTGCAGTTATTTTCTCCCATTTGTGGCTTGGGTTTTCAATTTCTTAAACATTCTCTGGGAAGCAACAGTTTTTCATTTTGATAAAGTCCAACTTACTGATTTTTTTTTTATAGTTGGTGCCTTTTGTACGCTATCCAAAAAATTTTTGCTGAACCCAAGGTCACTACAATTTTGTTTTCTTATAGAAGTTTCACAGTTAAACTCTTACATTTAGGTTTATAATCCATTTTGAATTAATGTCTTGTATGATGTCAGGTAAGCGTCAAGGCTCATATTTCTGCATGTGGCTATCCAGTTGTTCAAGCACCATTAGTTGAAAAGATTATCATTTCCCCCACTGAGTTGCCTTCTTGGCAGCTTTATCAGAAATCAGTGGATCATATATGTGTGAATCTATTTCTAGACTCTCTTCTGTTCATTCCACTGATCTGTATGACTCTCTTTACTCCAATACCACATTATCTTGATTACGGTCATGTTACAGTTAGCCTTGAAATCAGAGAGTGTAAGTCCCCCAACTTGTTCTTTTTCAAAACTATTCTTAGACTGGTCTCAGTACTTTCCATTTCCATATAAATTTTAAAGTCAGTCTGTCAATCTCTACAACAAACTTAGAAAGATTTTGATTGAGATTATATTGAATCTATTGAATACTTTAGGAAGAATTGAGATCTTAACCATATTGAATCCTCTCATCCACAATCGACAGCTAAAAGCTTCTCATGATCTAGCAAAAACTAAGTCCCTAGGTTTTTGGGGATTTTTTGAACCTGCTACTTCAAGGGTTTGTTTTGTTTTTGTTTTTGTTTTAAGTCAGTAATCTGTAGTTCCACTTGCAACACATAAATTTATTATGGAGTAAATTCAATTATTCCACATGTAACTCTCTGAATAAACTAGACATGTCAATTTAAAATACTAAAGATAAGTAAGTATTTCTGCAATCCTGAACTTCAAAAGCACCTTTGGGCCAGATGTAGTGGCTCACACCTGTAATCCCAGCACTTTGGGAGGGTGAAGTGGGAGGACGGTTTGAGGCCAGGAGATCAAGACCAGCCTGGTCAACAAGGGAGCAAGACCCCATCTCTATTTTTTAAAGTATTTTTGAACCTATAAAGGATAATTTTTAAAAAAACAAGCATGCATTCCATACATTTCCAAATATTTACTTAACAAGATTTTCTTAAAAAGAAAAGAAACAACACTCTGCCCATCCTACCTACCACATCCTCAGAGTTCCAAAATACCCAAAATCTTTTTAAAAAACAACATCAAAAAAAATCTGCCCTCTGATGCATACAAATGCATGAAAAACCATTGGTTTCAAGGTCATTTAAATGCTGACCCTCCTTACCAACCAAACACTCACGTTTTCCAAAACGCCACCAGTGGATTAAACATCTAAGTGTAATTATTTCAGATTATCATAAATACTGAAATCTGATTTACACTGAATTGTTTATTCATCCAGTGGAACAATAAGCAGCGCTGTACATGCCACCTAGTCAGATAACCTGGATCTTCCTACATTTATGACACCAAGAAGTCCTCATCTTTTGGCCTTCATGTAGGCCTCAGGTTCTCCACCTTGACTGCACGCTGGAATCACCTGGGGAGCCTAAAAGCATGGGTGATGGGGTCCCACAGCCCAGAGATTCCTATCTAGAATCTTTAAAAGTGGGGATTTTTGAAAGGTCCCTGGGTGATTCAAGTGGGTAGATTATGATGATTGAGAAGGACCAGTCTAGGCTCTCTCCAGGAAGAGATGCTTCTCATGGCCATTGGCCAATCTGCACCACCATACTTCAGAACCTAGTGAGCTCCTCTAGAGCTTTGCCCAAGCTAACTCCTAATCAGACAATAATAGAACTCAACAATTCCATCTGGATGCCTACACTCACTTCTATTTCATATCCAGAAATCCACAGGATAAATGTAAATATCTAACTGTATTTTAGCAATTGCTCTCTAGTCCCCACTTCTAAATGCCACAAAGTAAATCAGGCTGAAGGGAAATTAACTCAATATAATTTGACGATTAAGGTTAAACAGTCATTACAGTTTTTGTACTTCTATTTAAAAGAAAGGAATAGCTCCACAGCCATCTTTAATTTCAGAAAATATACGGTAAAAATTACCAATTCCACAAAGTATAAAATAAATACCTAAATGAGCCTTCATCACCATCCGATTTCACCCCTTGTAAATTTCAAACAGATTTTCAATACTGATATTGGGTTCAAAACTGACTCCCTCCAGAACTTAAACTATTAAACTCCTGAGAGTCTTCAAATAACCTACTCCATTTGGCTAAACCAGACTACTTTATTATAATTATCATTCCATCATCTCAAAGTGGGAACGACACCACCTGCATCACAAAGCCAGTGTGAGGATTAGGCAGTAAAAGCATGTTAGCACCGTGTAGAGTGCTCTAGAAGTTTTAATTTATTTACAGCAGAAATTTTGCCTCATGGGAACTATGTGAAAAGCAGAGGCAAGTGGGAAGTTGCGGGTAGCTACACGTCAACACCCAGGAACACAGGCTGGTGATGTGGGGAGGGAAGGCGGTTAACAACCTCCTGAGGAGTCCTTGCAGCTCTTCTCAGACCAACAGCAGCAGAAACCCATACCTCAGGACTCCCACCTCGGACTGACTGAGTTACTTGCAAGTATATGTAAATCTCATCTCCTTGGAAAACTGCTAAATAATAAAACTGCCAACGTGCAGACCCAGGCGCTCAGATCCCTGTCAGTGTAGCTCATGTACCTTTGGGATGTGCAAGCCGAAACACGTGTGCACGTCTGAGCGGCTAAACCAACATGTATCCATAAACATTATGAATAATACTCGCGAGAATGCACGGCTTTCTCCTAAGTTAGCGCTTGAAGCACTTTACCCAAATCAAGTCCCTTTCGTATCACTCCTTCCCTGCCTTTCCTACGTATCCACTCGAATGCTGAAAGTTGGAGCTCCTTACCCAAAGACTGGGCGGAAGGGGTGACCGCCCTGGACCCCTGCCCGACTTCCCGTTAGGCCAAGCCGCCGTCCTGAAAGGGGATCGTGTCCAGGCCGGCTTCCTGGAGACACACCTGCGCCTGCACACACCCACCGCGGTCGCGTCACCAGTGCCGCGGCCACCTGGACGAGGACCAAAGTCTGGAGGGAATTCCCTCAGCCATAGAGCGATGGGAAAGCAGGACCCGGGTGAGTTTTGAAAAACGTAAGGGGAACGGGAGTTGGGTGGACACAAAGGGAAGGGGTCACCGCTACTCACCCAACCCTCGAAGGTGTCCGAGGCGCCGGTCGTGCGCAGCAGCTCCTGGAACTGCAGGGTGCAGTTGGCCACGAAGTGGTCGTAGCCCAGGGGCGTCTCGTGGAAGACGGCCAACTCGAGGTGGCCGCCGTCGGTGACGTTAGCGCAAAACTCCTCGTTGTACGTGGGTTTGTTGGTCTTCTGCTTGGTGCTGGTCTGGCCCACGCGCACCTGGTCCACGCTCACTGTCAGATAGGGATCCAGCAGCTGGTGGCCCTTCTTGAAGAGCGAGTGGCGCAGGGACCAGCGGGTGGGCTGTAGCCCCACCGCCTCACCGATGCGGACCCTCAAATAGCCATTGAACTTCATGGTGCCAGACGACATGCCGGCGCCGCTGCCTCGGCCCCGGGGGGCCGCGCTGGTTCGCAGCGGGAGAACGCGGAGTCCCGTCTCAGGCCAGCCCTCGGGGCAGCTGCAGGAGTCGAGGCAGCCCTGGGGAAAGGCAGCGCCCAAGCGCCCCTCGACTGGCCATTCTGCCTCCTCCTTGGGACTTTTTCCACCCCTCCTTCCCTCCCTCCCGAGGTGGAAAGGAGGGGAGCCCGCCGCCGAGCCCTCAGCGGGCCGGGGAGGCCCGACCGTCCCTTCCAAGCGCGCTGCGCTTCCCGGGGGCTCGCGCGGGACTCGCCCCTTCTCCAGGGCCGGGCAGCTCCTCTCCCCGGAGAGCCGGAGCTACCCGTCCGGTGAGCTCCAGCCCCAAGCGTCTCTTCCTCCGCCTCCTCCTGCTTCTCCTCCTGCCCCCGCCTCCGAAGGCTCACGCTCTCCCCCACTCGGCGAGCTTCAAACCAGGAAGCAACTGCCGCCGCCGCCGCATCCCCGGCGAGAACCTCGCGCCGCCAGGTTCCAAGTTCACAGAACCCCTGCGCCGGCTCCCGCGCCTTCCGGACCCCGGGGGCGTGGCGCGCGGCCCGCGGCCCGGCCCTGCGGTGGGTGGATCCCCGCGCAAGCCCCCGGGAGTCCAGTGCCCGCTTGCACCGCCCTGCGCGCCCTCTTTGTAGCGCTGGGTCTGGCCGTGCGCTGCGCGTTAGGGGCCACCCGGGGCGCAGGCCAAAAAGGAAAGGGCTCGTGGCCCAGCCTGAGCAAACACCTGAGGCGTGGGAGACTGGCCTGGGGAGGGATGGAAGGTTGGGAGGACGCAGAGGAGGGCGCTCCAGCCAGGAACCCGCGCAGCGAGGAGTCGCCCGTCCCCTCTCTCCCAACCTCCCCGGTGGGCTGGTGACCCTGTAGGGCCGTCTCCAAGAGGCCCTGGCCGGAGGCGGGCGAACGGCGGGGAGGTTCTTTTTCCTAATCTTTACAGGGATGGCTCATACCGGGGTCAGCTCGAACGCATCCTGTTTGTGCGCCTTTCCTGCAGAGGCTAATTACACAGTTGTGTGTATGTGTGTGTTTTAATAAGGCAGTAGTAATGATGGAAATCCTGTTCTCCTCCTTCCTCAGAAGGTGTGCCTCGTTGCACAAAGAGCAGGAAAGGTCGGTTCTTCTGGAGACAGACACGGCCAAGAGTTAATAAGTCTTTTCCTCTGCTGGTGGTTCCTGGTCCACCCAGCCCTGCGCGGCAAGGGCAGAAAATGTTCACACACAGGCTGTCCCCGACACACACGTGGAAGAAATTGCCGCTTCTAGGAACACTCCATGTTGTTGTATTTGCAATCAGAGTGGCGGGCGTTCTGATGCTTCCCACCCCGTAGCCCCTGCAGATTTTGTCTCTGAGGAGGGCCTTTTGGCCTACTCTGCTATGCCACAAAGCTTGCTCCCTGAGGGCCAGCCGCAACCCATTTGTTTCCCATAAAGCCTAGGCCACTTTTTGTTGTTGTTGTTGTTGTTGCTGTTGTTGAGACAGAGTTTCGCTTTTGTTGCCCAGGCTGGAGTGCAATGGCGCGATCTCGGCTCACCGCAACCTCCGCCTCCCAGGTTCAAGCGATTCTCCTGCCTCAGCCTCCCTAGTAGCTGGGATTAAAGGCACCTGCCACGACACGCGGTTAATTTTGTATTTTTAGTAGAGAGAGGGTTTCTCCATGTTGGTCAGGCTTAGTCTTGAACTCCCAACCTCAGGTGATCCGCCTGCCTCGGCCTCCCAAAGTGCTGGGATTACAGGCGTGAGCCACAGCGCCCAGCCAAGCCTAGGCCACTCTTAAGATACTTGATTACATTCTGTCTTGCTATACTGGTTCCCTTGGAGCAGATTCAGCTTTCTTTCCTTCCTTCCTTCCCTTCCTTCCTTCCTTCCTTCCCTTCCTTCCTTCCTTCCTTCCTTCCTTCCTTCCTTCCTTCCTTCCTTCCTTCCTTCCTTCCTTCCTTCCTTCCTTTTATGTTTTAGAGACTGGGTTTTGCTTTGTCATCCAGGCTGGAATACAGCGGTGTGATCATGGCTCACTATAACCTCCAGCTCCCAGGCTCAAGTGATCTTCCAGCCCCCGCCTCCTAAAGTGTTAAGATTACAGGCATAAGCGCCTGTGCCTGGCCCCAGGTTCATCTTTCTAGCCCCCATTCCTCTAAGGCCCTGTTCAGAACTTTCTAACTGAGTAGGTTCTCAACGATTTCACATGAGTGCAAGGAGGCCTGACCCGTAATAACAGCACTATACAGAATGAAAACAAATAAGGACAATGGGCCAAGGGGGAGAGGGCCTGTCTTAAAAACACCAAAGCTTCCTTAGAGAACAAGGCAGGGATGCAACACATCACTCTAATGACACCTTAGCTTTAGGCAGGGCTTGTGAAGCATGCTCCCAAACGTCCAGAGGGCTCCTGTTTGGCCTTAGTGCTCCAGGGGAAGATGTCACATCTACCATGTGGGTCAACTCTGTTGCCCTTTCCTCCAAACAGCTGGACTCTAGCTTTAAGAGACACTAAAGGATTAGCTGCTGTTGGACTTTGGGGCTAAAAGAAAACAGTCCCCATATGGAATCATGGGGTGTCGACTTTAATTTTTGTTTTAATTTTAAAAAAGAAAACAGTCCCCAAATGGTAGGTGGCCACACAGCTGTCCTAGGACTGGGATATGAGGACACCAGACACTCCATCTTCATCCTATCAGTACCTATCAAGACTGGCCATGGTGTCAGAGCAGTGAGTCAGATGGCCATGGTGCCTGCCCTCCTGGGGATTATAGTCCCACAAGGAGGAAAAACAACAAATAGAAGAGGATGTATGTGGAGGGTGCAGTGAAGGAAAAGCCTACAGTGCCAAGAGGTGATGTATTACAACTGGATGGGTGGTCAGGGAAGGCTTCCTTGAAGAGGCAAATAGCAGAGAGATCAGCTCATTCAGAGCTCCCAAGAAGACAGATGGGTTGGCCTGTTTGGCCTATCTCTGCTATTTGCTTCAGCACTGTATGCGGCTGGAGCTGAGGAAGGTAAGGGGAAAGTGGCTGAAATCAGCTTGCAAAGGTGGTCACACTGACCAGACTGGTAGATCATAGGAAAGTCTTTGGATATTATCTATGGGTCACTGGATGCCTCTGAAGGCTGTTAAGCAGAGCCAGGGCAAGATGAGGATTTGTGTTTTAAAATATCTCTCTAGGGACAAGCAAGGTGGCTCACACCTACAAACCAAACACTTTGGGAGGCCAAGGCAGGAGTACTGCTTGAGCCCAGGAGTTCAAGACCAGCCTGGGCAACATGGCAAGACTATCTCTACAAAAAAATAAAAACTAAAAAATTAGCTGGATGTGGTGGCATGTGCCTGTAGTCCCATTATATTTTTTTAGTAAAATAAAATATCTCTCTGAGGGGTGGACTAGAAGAAACAGCACGAGTGTGGGGAGACCAGTTATGAAGCTGTTGCCAAAGTCCAGAGGTGAGAAGATGGTGGCCAGGACTCAGGTGGTAGTGATGGAGATGAAGATAAATAGATGAATTCAAGAAGCATTTCAGAAGTAGAACTGAGAGGTCTTGATGACAGATTGAAGGGAATGAGGAAGAAGACGGTATCAAGGATGACTTGCAGAATCTGGCTTGAGCAACTGTGTGGACTAGGGAGCTATTAGGGAATTAAGAAACAGCATGAGACAAGGCGCGGTAGCTCATGCCTGTAATCCCAGCACTTTGGGAGGACAAGGCTGGGGGGATGGCTTAACCCCAGGAGGTTGAGACCAGCCTGTGCAACATAGGAAGACTCTCATCTCTACAAAAAAAAAAAAAAAAAAACTTTTTAAAATTAGCCAGGGCACGTGCCTGTGGTCGCAGGGGAAGCCAAGGCAGGAGGATCAGTTGAGCCTAGAGACCAGCCTGAGCAACATAGTGAGGCCTCGTCTCTACAAAAATAAAAAATAAAAAAATTAGCCAGACATGGTGGCGGGTGCCTGTAGTCTCAGCTACTCGGGAGCTGAGGCAGGAGGGTCACTTGAGCCTGGGAGGTTGAGGCTGTAGTGACCCATGACCATGCTACTGCACTCCAGTCTGGGTGACAGAGTGAGATCCTGTCTCAAAAAAAGAAAGAAACATGGCAAGAGGAGATTGGGGCAGAGGTAAAGAGTTGGGGGTAGGAGGGGAGGATGAAGAGTTCAATTCAAAACTTGTCAAGTTTGATATATCTTGATACATTTAAGCAGAAATCTGAAGTGGGGAATTGGTTATGTGGTTGTGACACTCAGAGGGGCAGTCTCTTAGCTAAAGACAAAATTGAGAGCCATTGGTATACAGATAGTAACTGAAGCTAGAATAGTGGATCAGACTCTTCATGGGAAGATAGGAAGAAAATGCAACTTGAGAAGAGGACCCAGGACAGAGCCCTCCAGCAATTTCAACATTTATAGGTGGAGGAGAAGCAGGCAAGCGGATTGACAAGCAGTAGCCAGGGCGGTAAGAGAAAAGCAGTAGCCAGGAAGATGTGGTGTCCAGGTATTATAGAAACCAACCAAAAAGTTTTCAAGCAGGGAGGAATCGTCAGCTAGG